TGAGGGAGAGGCTAGGTTCACTTAGAAAAGATGGAGCACTTTTAGGAAGAGTCAGATTCTGGATCCTGGAGTCAGGGATGGGGGTGGGGGTCACAGTCCCCCTAGAAGACTGGGGAACTGACACGCAAGAACCTGTGCTCTCTCACCAGTGTACTTCTGAGTTGTGCATACCCTGCACAGACCAGAAGCCCCAGACAGTGGCTGTGTGGGTGGGGGATCCCTTCTGCCCTAGCCTGGCCATGGAGCTACAGAATGTTCTCCTCTGTGGCCAGGCCAGGGCAGACCTGGTTCCCAGCAGTGCAGGTTGCGGTGGCATGAAGATGCAGGGCAGGAGGGCTGGGGAAGATGCAGTATGGCCTTCACAGACTGCCCTCCAAAAGGCACAGCGGTGAGCATCTTGGGTGAGGCCTGGGTGGGACACGACCACTGAGGGTCAAAGTATGTGCCCCAGTGTCTTGGCACATTAGCCCCCCAAGGCCTGGAGTGAACTCCTGGGGTGTGAGGTGGGGGGAGACCACTCAGCGGAATAGAGGCTTGAAATTAAAAGTAGTGCGCTGACAATCAGATGTAAAAAGCACAGTTCTTTAAATGTTATGTATATTTACCACGCACACAAATGTTGGAGCGGGGAGCTCCCCTCCCTGCCCACTTGAGTCTGTGGACGGAGACTTAAACTTGCTCTAAGAGTTGGGGGCAGTTGTGCAGCTGGAGGCCAGTGATAGCAGGTTTCCACCTTGGTCCTGTCTGAGGCACCAGCACAGGAGTCCCCTGGAGCTGTGCTTTTCTCAGGGGGCAACAAAAGTAAGAGCCCCCAGGACACGCCAGGTGTTTGCAATTGTTCATCTGAGGGTGGTTCCTACTACTTTGAGTAATTACTAAGATAATTGTAGCAAGGAACAGGAGTCAAAAAAGAGAAAGGTAGCAGAAGGGAGAGGAGATGCTGTCCACAGTTTTCTTTACATACAATTTATTTATCACAGAGGAGCGGGAGCAGGAGACAGGAGACCCCCTGAATGGGAAGGGCGCCCCTCAGATGTGGGGGCAGATCACAGTCTGTGGCTCCTTCTGGGCGGTAAGCACGCTGGGTCCAGCTTCCCGGAGAAAGGCCACATCCTCACAGGTCTGGGGCACTGAAGGAAAGCAACCTGGTGTCCCCAGGTGGGCCAGGTGCAGGGTAGGCCATGGGTGATGTGCCCACCTCACTTCTCTGGGTAGGAAGAAAAGCTGCGCTGTGTGAGGAGAGAGAGAACTTTCCTCTTAGGAAATGGATCTCAGATTTAGGATCCTAGTCTGAAAAAGCCTATAGCAATGCCACTGACTGGGGGCCCAGGGGCCAGCCAGGTAACAGACGCCTTCGCCAGGGATGGAAGGAGAGTAGAACTGTGTGAACTAAGAAGAGTCAGGCCGGCCTTGCGTCTGGCCCGCCTGTGTCTGGCAAAAGGAGAACGGAGAAGTGCCAAGAAAATCTGTCTGGGAATGGAATTCCTGGACCACCTCGTTTTGATCCTAATTTTTCAGATAAAGAAAGAGACTTGGGACAGGGAAGTCTGTTCACAGCAGGGTGATTTTAACCAGAGTCGGCCTTTGGCCATGAGGTAATGGCTTTTAGAATATTTCATTCAACGTCCTCAGTTCATGCCAGGCCTGTACTCTGTTCCCTGCTCATGGCAGAAAGTGCACCTGATTATGCGGTGGAGACAGCCAGGACATGTGGGGGTGTGGAGCCAACTGTGTATGTGCACCTCAAAAGGCGGGCACATTAATAAACATCAAGGTGCACTCAGAAATGGAAGGATCACGAACCCTGAGCTCACAGGAATGATTTCCTGTTTTCTGAATTATGATTCCAGAAGTCAGTAAATCGAGGGCACGTGGAAAGACCCTGAGCCCTTGAAAGGGACACATGCCACCCGAGCAGATTCAGCTAATGACTTAGTTATGGGTGACATCAAAAACCGTGCAACAGGGCCGGCCCCGTGGCTTAGCGGTTGAGTGCGTGCGCTTCGCTGCCGACGGCCCGGGTTCGGATCCCGGGTGCGCACCGAGGCACCACTCCTCCGGCCATGCTGAGGCCGCGTCCCACATACAGCAACTAGAAGGATGTGCAGCTATGACAGACAACTATGTACTGGGGCTTTGGGGGAAAAATAAATAAAATCTTTAAAAAAAAAAAAAAACAAAAAAAAACCGTGCAACAGTTTCTCCACAGAGTCCATGCTTGGTGGAGTTTTGCTGAGCAGCCCGTGCCAAGAGCTGTGGTTGAAGCCAGCCCGGCCCACTCCTGCTCACCATGGGGACCGCGCCTTTCTCTGGGCTAGTGGGCTAAATGTGGGTTGTGGAGAAACTAAGATTAGAACAAGAAAGTGCCGCTTTTGGAATGCACGTTGCCTAATCCGAACCAGAGACGAGAGGGAGCTGCACCTGTGGGGACCCTTCACGTAAATGGAGCCGGTTTTAATTCTGCCAGTTTTCTCTATCAAAAGTCTCATGAAGGGCCCTCTGAAGCGTTTGACTCAGCAAAATCAGCCTTCGTGCTTTAGAGCCTAGAAGCCCTTTGAGGCTTCCCTGTGGGTTCTGCAGAGGCTGCTCCATCCCCGGCCATCCCAGTAAGTCAGGGACATACAGGGTAGCGGAAGGCTGCAGGGTGTTCAGAAACTCCCAAACTCTAAGTAGTCCTTCTTTTGAATTAATCCTCCTTTTGATGATGAGATGACACTTCTATATTCTCCTTTTGCTTAATTTCCACCTTAAAACAGGCCGGGGTGCCCTCTGGATACCGTGAGGAAAAGGACACGCCAAGGGGGGGCGGCAGCTGAGGCAGCGGGATCAGGCACTTCAGTGAAAATTCCTTTTTTGGAAGCCAGGCAGGCACTTTCCAGGACTGCGAATCCTTGGGAAGTGACGCAAGCCCAGTCAGCGAGGGGCAGGGGCCAGCGCTCCTCGGAAGGTGCCGGAAAGCATGGCTGGCTGGCCCCGGATCCCGAGACTGATGCTCGCAGTTCCTGGGGCCTCCTTCCGTCTCCTCGGCCGGCTGGCCCGCGGCGGGGAGGGCTCTCAGCAGAGCTCCTTATATAGGAAAGCTCCATGAGGGAGGCTCTCGCAGGACAGCACAGGGCTGCGTCTCAGCAATATTGGTGAAACTCCCTCTACCAGCAGCAGTGTCTTGTTCTGAAGGATAGCAGAAACAGAAGGCGGGGGGGTGATGCTAAAAGTTCCTGTTTTCCCCCTGTGTTAAACAGAGAGGCTGTGTTCTGAGGAACGCTGCTGCGGTGCCTTTACTCCGGCCTCTCCGGCCTGCGGGGCGTTGGTTCCAGGCCGGCTTCTCCAAGTGGGCAGCTCAGAAAGAGTGTGAGCCCAGGACTGGGGTGGACACTGGTCACGGGGACTGCAGAAGGAGGCTCTGGACTGTGTTGGTGAAGGAGGGAAAGTCTAGGCTCCCAGGAAAGGTTTGACAGCGGGCAGGACCTGCAGGAATGGAGCGGGGCATTCTTTGCTTCTAGGGTTTGGGACAACAGGTGGCATCTTTTCACTGTGCCTGAGCTGTCAGCAGGAAAGGAGAAAGGCCTCTGGGCATTTCTTAACAGGAAAATCACAGATCTGAATAGGAGTAGATTTGTCTCCTAGCATCTGTTCCCCCTTATTCTAGTAGCAGCACCCCCATTTCCTTTGGGGAGCCACATTGCCCCCACCCCATTCATGTGGTTGGGGCTTATCCTTCCCTGTCTGCAGGACAGTGGCCCTGTGTGTCATGCCAGCTGCTGTGATTGCAGTGGGGAGGGGCCTGATCCAGGGGTCCCCCTGGGATGTAGCTCCAGGACTTCCTGCTGTGGGGGCTGACATCGCACTTCCCTGTGAGGAGGGCCTGCCTGAAGGTGACACCAACTCAGAGGAAAGCAGGCCCTTGTGGGGAAGCACTGTGTCAGACGGAGATGACAGATGGAGAGACAGATGCCTGGCCACCTTGTTTGAGTGCCACCTGCAGCTAGAGCCACTGCTGCTATCCTTGGCTGCCTCTTGGCTCACATCAGCCTGAGTCAGAGTTCTGTCACTTGCAACCAAGAATCCCGACTGACAACACAGGTGACATTAGGAAGTCAAGATGTGGTCCACTAGTACCGTGCATCAGGTCTAGGTTTCAAGCAGGTTTTTTGTTTTTTTGTGTTTTTTTGGTGAGAAAGATTAGCCCTGAGCTAACATCTGTTGCCAATCCTCTTCTTTTTGCTGAAGAAGATTGGCCCTGGGCTAACATCCGTGCCCATCTTCCTCTACTTTTATGTGGGATGCCGCCACAGCATGGCTCGACAAGTGGTGCCTAGGTCTGCGCCCGGGATCCAAACCTGCGAACCCCACGACGTCGCAGCGGAGTGTGTGAACTTAACTACACCACTGGGCCGGCCCCTCAAGCAGTAGTTTTGTTTTTTTTTTAAGTTTTGTTTTTTTTTTAAAGAAAAACACTGAAAGTGTTGCTTGGAGACCTCCAAAAATTCAGGTCCTTAAGCTTTTGGGTCCCTTTGGGCCCATTCAGGACCTATATAAAAAAAAAACAACCCATAGTAACATTTAACAGCTCGTTATTTCTGTGGCACCAAGAACTAATAAAGACTTAAAAACGATTACATCTGTCAGCAGAACATTTCTGGCTGAGTTTTGCTTCTATTTGAAAGTTTTGTGTTTTTTGGGGGGAGATGAAAGAGACACAAGAAGTATTATACATGTTAAAAGTAACTCTTGTGATTGGTTTATTGCAGGAGGCGAGGAACTGGAAAGGCCTAATGCGTGTGCGTGCTGCTCCTTAGCCACCCAAGACATTCCTGCTCCCCCCACGGAGGCCCCTACACATCTCCTCCCCTTCCCGGCATCCGCTGCACAGCCCTCATTTCTTCCACCTGGGTACCACTCCTGAGCAGAAGTGCCCGGCAGCCTACAAGTGCATGTGGTTGAGAACATAAGCATCTTCAAAATTCGTCATCTGAGAGGGAATGTTTGTGTCAAGAGCTGGCTGAGCCCCTGCAGCATGCAGCCCTATTCACACGTGAACCCTCGCCTGGAGCGTGACCCGGGAGAAGCCTGCTCTTCCGTGTCACCCAGCATCCGGAGCATGTATGTGCCCGTGTAGATGAGAAACCGTCCGGTCGCCTGGGCAGCATGGGACAGGAAGCGCATCAGGCTCCTGCAACAGAGGGGACAAGGGCCCGTGTCAGGCTTGGAGTTCTGGGCCAGCGAGGAGCAGACGGCGTGAGAATTCTCCACACGCACCTCCTGCTCCCCCTAAACGTGTGCTCAGAGCAGGCAGCCCGCTGGCTTGAACGCTGGAAAGAACGCCCCTGCCCCCCGCCCCCCGCCCCGGGGCTTGCTGACACGCGGGGCTGATTCAGGAGGTCTGGGCAGCAGCGGGGACTCTGTTTCTGGTGAGCTCCCAGGTGATGCCAAGGCCTTCCCGTAGCCACTTCCGAAAGTGGCCTGTTGTTCAGTGACTAGAAGACACTGAGCTGGCAGGCTGCGCTCCTGAGAGTACACACCCTGTGCTGTCCGCCGCACTGGCTTATCCTGTCGGCCTCGGGGGTGTGGGGCTTGTTGCTGAAATCAGTCAAGTCAGGTGCCAAAGGAGAAGTCAGGCTGAAGGACAGTCTTACACCAACTGCAGGCGTAACCCTGTGACCCAGTGTGCTTAGGGCGGCTGGGACAGCCCAACTTGACCCTGTTGTGACATCTCAGTCCTAAGGCTAAGCCTGGCATTCGTGTTATTTCAGACGAGAAAAGTAGCTCTAACTCGAATTCTTATTCTCTACTGAGCCCAAAGCTACAGGGTTTTATTCCAGTTTTAAAGGCCTATCACCTCATGAGGACAGCCAAGGCTGGGGTCAGCTGTGCTAGTCAGGAGAGCCCCCGACTCCCGGCATCCCACAACGGGGCCCTGGCAGGCAAAGCCTTCGATTTGGGGGCCTTTGTGACTTCTGTGGCTGCCTGTGGTGCCATCAGATGTATCAGATGGTAAGAATTAGCGACAAGACGGCTAAATTTGTCTTTTTGGGTAAGGTTTTCTTTCTTCACTATACTTTTCTATGTTGTTGTAACTCTCCTGTCTCACTTTAAAAATCAAGCAATAAAGCTATTTTCTCCCATCTCAGCCAAAAGAGGAAACTCTCCTGGGGGGGCTCAAGATTTCAGCACTACAACAGCAACTGTTGTCTAGGAGTTGGCAGTTGATGGTTCTCAGCGGGACGCGGAGGCCATGCAGGAGCCACCGCCGGCGCCAGCCTCTGAGACCCGTCAGAGGAGAGCAGTCGCATTTCTGCAGCATTCCCCCTCCTGGCGCTACGCTCAGCGGAGGTCAGAGCGGTCCACACGGGGCCAGGGGAGAGGAGACAGCACCTCAGAGAAACAGGAGCCCCCCTGCCCAGAGGGGCTATGCAGAGAGCACTGGAATATCAGAAGTTGCAATCTTTTTAGACTGGCTTCGAAGACCTTCTGCCACTGTCAGTCTCTCTCCTTCTACCCATCCCTCCACGGAGAATTAGTTCTGTAGAGAATCAATGACGAATTTACTAGAGGGCTAGGTGTATTGAGAGCCAATGCAACCATAAAGAACTTGGAGGCAACCTTCTCATTTTAGAGATGATGAAACTGAGGATCAGAGAAGTTAAGTAACCCGTTAAAGGTCACACAGCTGGTTGCTCAGAGGCAAAGCTGGGAGGGACTGCAGGTGTCCCTCTCAGTCCAGGGCTCAGTGGCAGGATGTCTGTCCCCTTTACAGCCGGGGAGTGTCCCTGGTGAACATACAGAATTTGTTCAAATAGGTCTGGGGTAGGGAGTGGGGAATCTGTCTTCTGCAGGCTCCCCTGTGAGGCTGTGTAGCCAGCCTGACCCCAGCCTGTGGGGTGATGGTGCCCTGGCGGTATGTGGAGAAGGAATGTGCCAGTGCCACCTTACCACTAGCTGCCAGTTGGCAGTAATACAGAAGATACGTGCAAAAGAGTGCTTATCCAGGCTAGCACAGCTGCTCTGTGCAGAGCGGATCAGAGTCTCCACGGCTCTGGTTTTACCTGTCATTGCTTAGAATGAAGGTTTTAAAGTGCACAGCTCTAGTTTGCGAAAGAAATTTGGTTCTTCTTTATAGTTATTACTTAGTTTTTGTTTCATTTAGTATTTAATGGTCTTTGGAGAAAAAAATATATTTTGGTTCAGGACTTTGTTTTCTGAAATAAGTCTGTGGCATAGGAGTTAAACTACTGTATGACCACTCGAATCAGAGTGAACTTCAACACTACTGGTCAGGTCAGGACCTCTGGGGGACTGGGCTCTGGGAGCTCAGAGGAGCAAGCTGGGGACTGGCTACCTGGACTGTGCCTTGTGCAGTTTCCAGACCCCCAAATTGACCGCAAAGTCTGTTACCTCAGCATGGCCTTGAGCCCTGTACACCGGATGTCATAGGACACTGAGTACATCTCATACATGGTGGCCTTCACGTTGAGGCAGCCAATGACATCCCTGGGATTCAGCTTGTACAAGTTGAAGGTGACTCTGGCTATTCCTGATTTCTTTGGCTGCTGGCGAGCTGGGACGGAGTTACTAGCCTATAACAGTGAAGAGAGGAAGAGACTTTAGGAGCGTCCCCAACTATGACATGCAAATCCTATAATTCTGGTTTTATGCTAGTTTTGACTCTTTTGGTTCAAAATCTGTTAGTGGCTAAGCTGCTAATTATTTGAAGAACATTTTTAGCCGATTGATGTGCTTAAATTGCTACCATGTCCAAACCCATGAGAAAGTATCCTTCTTTAACCTACTTTCAGCTTAGTGACTTGAGATGAGTGTCATTCGGCTTCGGGGCCTGGATTTCAGGATCCAGGGTTCAATGAATGGTTGTGCTATCGACATGTGGTATTGAGACACACTCACACCAGTCGCTTAGGGCACCCTATGGTTACTTGACTGACATGGACGGTCCCATGACTATAACACGGTCTGCTCAAAGAGAAGTAGGCAGCATTATTTCCATTTTACAAGAGGCTCCTGGGCGGAAAGTTTCAGAATCATGTGGCTAAAGTGAGAACCTTTGCAGGACTTCCCCTATTTTCTTGTAACTGCCCTGGATGAAAGCTGACTCCCTGGGGACACTGAAGGTTGTTTGGTTACAGTATCCACCCTCAGTCTACCTGATACAGCAGACCCTTCAGGTTGGGAGAGAAAGTCAGAGACCTCTGTAAATCCCCAGCGTTATAAATAGCACTGTGATATAGTCTGCCCCCCAAAGCTTTGAAGAAAGAAGAGAACAAAGTTGTCCTAGGGTACACATGCCCGGTCAGGGGCTGCTCTGCCTACAGGTTTTCTCCACACACAGATCTTGCGGTTTTCAGGATTCAGAGAGACACAATCAATAGTGTTACAATGTCTCCTGAACCTCTTGGGTTGGGATTGGTTGAGGCTGTGAATGTTAAATTCATTAATGACAATAATCTACTATATTTAAAGTTAAAACATAAATTCCCCTGAAAATCCCCAAACCCTTCTTGCTGGAGCCACTCTTCTTTCCTCCTCTATTCCTCCCCCACAGATCACACACACATTTCATGCGGGACAGGTCCTGCTGCCTCTTTAGGGGGTACTAACTAGCCATCATTTAGGAAACAATATTTTAAAAAATTAAAATTACAGAATCAAAAGGGGTTTTCACCTATAATCCTGTCACAACTCTTTCTCATTGCCTCACGTTCCTTTCTGACGGATGAAAGTTTTTATCTTACTCTCCCTAAATGTCTTCCTCAAGTCTGGGTCTTAAATCAAAACCAAGATGTCCTCACAAAGCGAATCTGCTCACGACCTGGCATATGGATTCTATAATCTGAGGACTAAGGAAGAAGGAAATGCTTCCTCACAGGCTAAGGCATTTAAACTGAAGAAGGGAGACCCCTGGTGGCAATTTCTTGGCTGGAAGTTCTTGTCCAAGTCAAACAAAACTGTCCTCACTGATAAAAACACGTACAAGTGGGGTATGATCTATAATCAGCTGTGAGGTGCCCGTTTCCACCCTGAAGGAAGATGGTGTAAGTCAAGAGAAGCCTCCAACCTAAACTCACATGTCAACTAGCCTGTTACTAGATGGAGAAGGCTATACGCCCCTCCTTGAACGCATCACATGGCAGTATTATTAGCAGCCATTGCATCCTGTCACCGCCTGGTAGGTCGGCTCAGTAACTCAGGGCCCACCCACTCTGGGGACTTAAACATGTTACATATTAACCGTCCTCCCTAGTAACTGAGTGTCTTGTATATAAAAACAAACAAAAATACCCTTCCCTTCTGAATTAGTTTCCTATTACTGCTGTTACAAATTACTACAAACTTAGTGGCTTAAAACAATGCAAATTCAGACTCTTACAGTTCTGGGGGTCAGGAGTCCAAAAGGAGTGGGCAGGGCTGGCTCCTTCTGGAGGTTGCTGGAGAGGCTCGGGTTCCTGGCCTCTTCCCGCTTCTAGAGCTGCCTGCATTTCTTGGCTTGTAGCCCTTTATCACATTACTCCTTCTCTTTCTCTGCTCCTGGCTCTCACTCTGACCCTTCTGTGTCCCTCTTATAAGGACTCTGTGATGACACTGGTCCACTGGGTAAGCCAGGATCATCTCCCATCCTTAACTTAATCACATCTGCCAAGTCCCTTTTGCCATGTAAAGTAACACATTCATGGGTTCTGGGGATTAGGATGAGGATGTCTTTGGGGGGACATTATTCTGCCTGCAACACCTCCTCAAACAAAAAGCAGTATAGCCCAAGACTGTCTTTTAAAAGATCTATCTAATTCACCCCATGATCTTCCAATTTACTGGCATGATCTCCTCACCTACTTTAAAGATACTTTATTTTAAATTTTATGCTTTTTATAATTGGTCTATAGTCTTTTTCTTCCAGTCAGAAAAATTACGAAGTATTTGATATGTATAGGAGTATACAATATGTGTAAAAATAAGGAATCATGAAATGATGGGTGTAGCCACCACTCCACATAAAACAAAACATTATCACCCCAGGTCCTTTCCCCAGTTATATCCCTCCATCTCCCCTCAAGATGAAACCATCTAAGTTGTGCATCATTCCATTTTCTTTATTTTTAGCACTTGTATATCTCAAACATTATATTGCTAATTCTGCATATTTTTGAATTATCTACAAATGATTAAATGCAGAGGTTCTCAAAGTGTAGTTTGGAGACACCTGGGGGATCCTGAGACTCTTTCAGGGGACTGAGAGGTCAAAACTATTTTCATAATAAACACTAAGATGCAATTTGCCTTTTTTGTTCTCATTCTCTCACAAGTAGTGGAGTTTTCCACTGTACATTTAGGAAACCTGCATAACTCAGTGAATCAATATTTCCTAAATGACCAATGCATGATATTATAAATCATCCCTGGGAAAAAGATCCCTCCAAAGTGCAAGACAGACCAATGGATTCCAGTGCAATGGGGAGGCAGCCTTCACTGGGATGCCTTCAGATTCCACGTTGCAGCCAGCCTTTATGAAACCCCACTTGTTGAGTTTTGGTGTAGTATCAAAGAAGAATATCCTCAATTTCTTGAAAAGATCACTACAATACTCCTCACTTTTCCAACTACTTCTCTGTGTGAGGTCATATTTTCTTCACATACTTCCATCAAAACAATATATTACAACAGATTGAATATGAAAGCAGAGATGAGAATTTAGCTATCTTCTATTTGGCTAGGCATTAAAGAAATTTGCAAAAATGTAAAACAATGTCACTTCACTAAATATTTTTGTTTTGGATAATAGTTACTTTTCATAAAAATGTGTGATTTATGTTACCTTGTATTGGGTTATTATTTTTAATGAAGTAATGCATATTTTAAAATTTCTCCATTTTAAGTTTGAATATGGGAAATATCTGTATCTATAGCTTATAGCTTCTCACTCTTGGCACTACGACATTTGGGGCCAGATAATTCTTTGTTGTGGTGGCTGTCTGTAATATTCATTACAGAATATTTAGTAGCATCTCTGGTCTCTATCCACTAGATGCCAGTAGTATCCCCTCCCCTAGTTGTAACAACCAAAAATGTCTTCATGCATTGCCAAATGTCCCCCAAGAGGCAAAATCGTCCCTAGTTGAGAACCTCTGATCAATGGATATCTACAGAGTCTATTTTTTTTTTTTTAAAGATTTTATTTATTCATTTTTTTTCCCCCCAAAGCCCCAGTAGATAGTTGTATGCCATAGGTTCACATCCTTCTAGTTGCTGTACGTGGGACTCGGCCTCACGTTGGACGGAGAAGTGGTGCCTCGGGGCGCGCCCGGGATCCGAACCCGGGCCGCCAGCATCAGAGCGCGCGCACTTAACCGCTAAGCCACGGAGCCGGCCCCAGAGTCTATTGATATAATCCACATAGACAAAAGCTGTTTGGGGTCCTCATTAATTTGCAAGAGTGTAAAGGGGTTCTGAGATCAAAAAGTTTGAGGACTTCTTACTTAACGGATTATTCTGCAATGTTTTCACTCAACATAGTTGATGAGATTTATCCATACGGATTCCTGTAGTTGTACTTCATGCATTTTCATAGCTGAAGAGTATGCCATTCAGTAAATATACAACAGTGTATTTATTTATGTGTATTTACATAGAAGTACATGGCTGGGTATCTGCGGGCTGTATATCTAGGAATGGAGTTGCTGGGTTGTAGGTGGTGCTTCAATTCTATGGGATAAAGGCAAGTTGTTTTAAATAGCTGTTGGTGGGAGTATAAGAGAGTTCATTGCTCCATATTTTAAAAATGGAAAAAATTAAAAAGCCTAACACCACCACATCTAATGGCATAAAAGGGTATCTTATTGTGGTTTTAACTTACATTTTCCTAGTCACCAGTGAGGGTTAGCATCTTTTCCTGTGTTTTATTGTCCATTCTGCAGAATGCCTGTCCCTGTTTTTTGCCTATTTTTCTATTTGATTGTCTGTTGTTCCCATAATCGATTTGTGTGAGGTCTTTAAATTTGCTGAATACTAATCCTTTGTTGGGTTATGTTGGAAACACCTCCTCCTCAATTGTGGCTTATTGTTTCACTTCCTTTGTAGTATCTTTTGATGAATGAATTTCTTAATGGAGTTGAATTTTTCATTTTATTTATTTATTTATTTTTTATTTTTTTATAATTTATTTATTTATTTATTTTTCCCCCAAAGCCCCAGTAGATACTTGTATGTCACAGTTGCACATCCTTCCAGCTGCTGTACGTGGGACGCGGCCTCAGCATGGCCGGAGAAGCGGTGCGCCAGTGCGCACCCGGGATCCGAACCCGGGCCGCCAGCAGCGGAGCGCGCGCACTTAACCGCTAAGCCACGGGGCCGGCCCAAATTTTTCATTTTAAAAAACACGTGTGTGTGTTGTGTCTTGTTTAAAAAAAAAAAAAAAACACCCTGAGGATGTCAAGTAGACATATATTAGATCTTCTCAGTCATGTCTCCAACTTCCTTCCTGTTTTGTATCTCTATCATTTTGTGTTATATCATAGGTACCTTCTTTACACTTATCTTCCAGGTCTTTTATTATTCAGTCCTGAGTCTTCATTTACTTTAATTGCTGTATTTTTCATTTCCAGAAATTCTATTTGAGTCTTTCCAGTCTACCTAGTCCTGGGGCCAGCCCCATGGTTTAGCAGTTAAGTGCACGTGCTCCACTACTGGCAGCCCGGGTTCGGATCCCGGGCGCGCACCAACGCACCACTTCTCCGGCCATGCTGAGGCCACGTCCCACATACAGCAACTAGAAGGATGTGCAACTATGACATACAACTGTCTACTGCGGCTTTGGGGAAAAAAAAGGAGGAGGATTGGCAATAGATGTTAGCTCAGAGCTGGTCTTCCTCAGCAAAAAGAGGAGGATTAGCACGGATGTTAGCTCAGGGCTGATCTTCCTCACACACAAAAAAAGTCTACCTACTCCTTTTTTTTTTTTAGGAAGATTGGCCCTGAGCTAACATCTGTTGACCACCTTCCTCTTTCTCTTTTTTCTCCCCAAAGCCCCAGTATATAGTTGTAGATCCCAGTTGTAGGTCCTTCTAGTTCCTCTATGTGGTACGCCACCTCAGCATGGCTTGATGAGCAGTGAGTAGGTCCGCGCCCAGGATCCAAACTGGTCATCCCCGGGCCGCCAAAGCAGAACGCGTGAGCTTAACTGCTATGCCACCAGGCCGGCCCTACCTAGTCCTTCTTGATTACCTCTTGTTCCTTCTTATTTTTTATTACTTTTTATATTTCTTTGAATATTTTAAATATATTTATTTTATAATCTGTATCTGATGAGTCCAACATCTAATGTCTTTGCAGGCCTGACTTTGTTATTTCTGCTTATTCTCACATACAGTGCCTTGAGTCCTTATGTTTGGTGTTTTTTTTCCCTGATATTTTATATTTTATTTTGTTTTAAAAAAATGTTCACTGTGACTCACAGAATTGATTTCATGACCTACCAATGGTCACACACATAATGTGAAAAACGTGGATAAAGAGACCTTTTCCTCTGTTGTTTTGGTAGCTTGAGTATGTCTGCTTGATGATCAAAGAAACTAGCTGATCTGATAGAATGTTGGCTGGTAGAGGAACTGTCTTGAAGTAGTAGGTATACATCTCAGATTTTCATTCCTGATACTTTTCGATGGGAAGAGTTTTAAAGGTGCCAGTTATGGTCTGATCTAGTGAGGATCCAATGAGTTTTCCATGGCTAGGTCAACTATCAGGTTGAAGCTGGTGACATATTTTTAGAACTTTCTTGGAATGCATCCTTGACCTCCAGCCCAGCGCCATGAACCTTGCGTCTTGCCTGTAGAGCGGCAGTTCAGCTCGCCCCCCTTCCCTACTATGTTTTGTGTTTTGATTGTGAACTCACATTTGTTAGAACTTTAGGAATGAAAACTCTGTGAACATTCAGACCCTATTTGCTCCTTCTAGTTAAATGGGGGCACTATCAACCCTGGGTCACTAGGGCTGGAGGGAGGGACTAGCTGAATAAAGAGAATTCAATGAGTTAACTCCTTCCACTGATGCTTCGTCCCCAGATCTCTGTAAACTAAATTCTCAGCATGGGTGTTTTTGGAATCAGCAGTCCCTGAAATCTCATGAGGGCAGCTTGTGGCCATAGATTCTCAGGAGAGACCTTTAAGATTCTCTGCTTTATGTGCACATCTCTAATCTGACCCCCCAATTTTGTGCCAGCCTACGACTTTGTCTCCTGTCCTCCCAGCATCCATCAAAACTGAGGCTCTTAGTCACTGAGGTCAGTAGATGCCTATGGGTGAGATGCCCACAGGCAAGACACCCACAGGTGAGACACCCATGGGTAAGATGCCCACAGGTGAGATGCCCACAGGTGAGTTGCCAGCTTCAGTGTTTGCTTTCCTCTCTGGATTCTGGCTTCCTTAAAAATGTTGGCCTCTGAGGATTTCCCTTTCTTGAAGGTGAGTTAGGCATGTAAAAAGATGTTTTAATATTTTGCTTTACATTTTGAGGTGTTTTATAGAGGGAGGGTTTCCTAAGATATAAAATCTATGGTTTTCCCAGAAATAGAAGCCTTTATTCTATCTCTTTATTTTCCTAAATCACTGTATTTACACACATACACTCACCCCTACTTAATGTCACTGGCAATGTTGGCTTGCCGGCCTCCTAAGGACAGAGACAGTAACAGTCACCAGGTTACATCTGCATGCTTTAACAGGATCTGTAGCTACTAACTGGCCAAAGCCTGTCCGTCAGAAGTATTTGCTTTAAATCATATAGCCGTAGTTCACAGAGTTTCCTAGGCATACTTATAAGAAACCTTTTGAGAGTAGTAAATCCAATTATTAGGTGAATAAAAATATATATTTAGAAAGTGGCCAAGTCAACACCAAAGTGGGGATGTACTTTTATAGGTAAAAAATCTACCCAGTAGCTGTTTGGATAACAGCATTTTTGCTTACCGGTGTCCACTTCTGTCCTTTTTCCAAGATCATGAAATGCGTGTTGTCTCCCAGGGTTTGAAAGAACTCTTCTGTATCCACCACCGTGCCGTCTTCTTCCAGCACCAAAATGACCAGTCCACTGGTGATGACAAGGGCATCCAGGGTCTAGAGTCGCAGTGCGTCAGAGACATAGAAGGAAGCGAGAGAGTCCATTTGACCAATCAATGACATTGATTAAGATATGGTTTCAGAAACGTTGGCTGATTTTGATCAATTTTTAATGGTAAAGATATATCTTAATTGGTGTCTATGGCTCAATCTTTGCTTGGAAAAGAGGAGTTAAAATTTTTAATGGACTTATCTTCTTTAGAGATTTCAATGACAAGAGATAAGTGATTACACTGAATAATATTTACAATTTCTAAAGTTACCTACTTGTTTTGACAAATAAAGAAGAATAATCCCGCACATATGATATTTAGAGAGCCTGAGCCTCAAGTGGCATATCTGGACATCCCTCTTGCTTCAGAGAGTGCATGTTGGATACCAGTTCTCATTTCCATGGGTCTTTGTCTGGGTCATGCCTCCAGGAGAGTCTAGGAGTCTTTCTTATTTGGTGATCTATGACACTGTTTTAGCTCAAGGACTATTCTTCCCTGGTCTTTGTAACCAAAAACAGATTTCCAAAGTCTCCTGGTTCCCTACATTCTCCCCTGTCAAAGATACAAAGCTACATTATCAATTGAGGACTACTTTTAAAGTTTTTGTCTCTGTACCTAAATATTTTGTGGTACAGTGATGCAGTAATGTTTCCTTTCATTCTTTTGTCCTCTCTTTAACCACTTAGGAATGGCTCCCTTCAGACTCTCCAAGGCCAAGACATTGATATTCTGTCTTGCTTTGGCTCAGTTCCCAAGACCATGGCCCTGGGAGAGTTGAGGGGACCTTCTATGAGCCGCTGGAGGAGGCACTGCCATTCATGGTACCTTGCTGAGGAGTTCCTTCAGACTGTTCGCCATCACCCCTCGCCGGCTGCTCCTGTCATGGTTGGAGACCCGGAAAGGGCGAGCTGAATGCATGAGGGGAGTTAGTAGGACTTTCTTAGTCTGTGATCTCATAAATGTCAGGGGCCTGGAAATGGAGGAGGAAAGTAAAAAATATCTATGACATTCCTTTTAAAAAAGAGTCTTTAAAGAGAGGTTTGAAGTACACAAAAATAAAATGATTTTAATATTTACACCTAAAAGAAAGAAATTCAATGTTGAAGATTATTAAAATTTATATATATATGCCCCAATATCCAAGGAACAAACAAATAATACATAAAATTAAAAAACACAACCATCATTACACCTATTTTACCAGAACATTCCAAGTCCTCACAGTAACTATTTGAGAAGGAATAGTAAGGGTAAAAAATGCGAAAAAGAAATAAGAAGTATATTCTTCAAACATGGGATTTAGAGCTGAAAAATCTAAGAAAATGATTTCTAGAGGCCATGGCATAGCTAAACAGAGTTAAAGAATTAGGCACACACACACACAAACAGTTACATATTTGTACAATAAGACTAAGCCAGAAATTTAAAAGCCAGATATTGGTCACTATAGCAATAAACCAATTTTTAAAATTAACTTAGGATAACCTAGGAACAACAGAATATTATAGTAACTGTGGTTGGAACAGCAAGAAGCAGAAGGATTTCAGGCCACATATCACATGACTCTTTGGAGTAAGTTCCACATTTATCAAAGAATTAGTTCAAAAATTCACTATATACAGGAAGAAAAGCAGAAAGGCACGAATGTGTGGCGATTAAACAAAATGCTACTGAACAACGATTGGGTCAATGAAGAAATCAAAGGAGGGCCAGCCCCATGGCTTAGTGGTTAAGTGAGTGCTCTCTGCTGCTGGCAGCCCGGGGTTCGGATCCCGGGTGCGCACCGACACACTGCTTCTCCGGCCATGCTGAGGCCGTGTCCCACATACAGCAACTAGAAGGCTGTGCAGCTATGACATACAACTATCTACTGGGGCTTTGGGGGGAAAATAAATAAATAAATAAAAAATCTTAAAAACAGAAAAGAGAAATCAAAGGAGAAATAAAAAAAATACCTGGAGACAAATGAAAAAGAAAATACAACATGCCAGAATTTATGGGATACTGCAAAAGCAGTTCTAAGAGGGAAGTTTATAGCAATATAGGCCTACCTCAACAAACAAGAAAAATCTCAAATAAACAATCTAACAGTGCACCTAAAGGAACTGGAAAAAAGAAGAACAAACAAAGCCCCAAATCAGTAGAAGGAGGGAAATAATAAAAATCAGAGCAGAAATAAATGAAATAGAGACCAAAAAAAAAATAGGAAACAAAATCAATGAAACCAAAATCAAAGCTGGTTCTTTGAAAAGATAAACAAAATTGACAAACTTTTAGCTAGACTCACCAAGAAAAAAGAGAGAAGGCTCAAATAAATAAAATCAGAAATGAAACAGGAGAAAGTACAATGGACACCTCAGAAATACAAAAGATTCTAAGAGAATACCACAGAAAGCTATATGCCAACAAATTGGATAATCTAGAAGAAATGGATAAATTTTTAGAATCACACAACCTTCCAAAACTGAATCAAGAAGAAAGAATTTGAATACACCAATCACCAGTAAGGAGATCGAAACAATAATCAAAAACCTCCCAAAAAACAAAAGTCCAGGACCAGATGGCTTCTCTGGTGAATTCTACCAGACAGTCAAAGAAGATTTAATACCTATCCTTCTCAAACTGTTCCAAAAAACTCAAGAGGAGGGGAAGCTTCCTAACCCTTTCTATGAAGCCAACATTACCCTGATACCAAAACCAGACAAGGACAACACAAAAATAGAAAATTACAGGCCACTATCACTGATGAACATTGATGCAAAAATCCTCAACAAAATACCAGAAAATAGAATACAGCAATACATTAAAAAGATCATACACCATGATCAAGTGGGATTTATTCCAGGGATAAAGGGATGGTTCAAGATCTGCAAATCAATCAACGTGATACACAACATTAACAAAATGAAGAATAAAAATCACATGATCATCTCAATGGATGCAGAGAAAGCCTTTGACAAGATATAGCATCCATTTATGATAAAAACTCTGAATAAAATGGGTATAGAAGGAAAGTACCTCAACATAATAAAGGCCATATACGACAAACCCACAGCTAATATCAGACTCAATGGTGAAAAACTGAAAGCTATCCCTCTAAGAACAGGAACCAGACAAGGATGCCCACTTTCACTACTCGTATTTAACATAGTATTGGAAGTCCT